TAGTCCCAACAAGATGCAAAGTGTGTGCTTCACCAGCTACGCTCTCACCCCTTGGTTGACAGAAGCCTTGTAACCTCCAGAACCACCTCGATGCGTTGTTTTGGAGGGTTAGGGAGACTGCTCAGGGACCACGACACTCGGTGTGTGCACTTGCGATGAACCTTGGGGCTCTTCGGATTACTATCAACGTTCGAACGGCTCAGGAAACGAGAAAATAAAAAAGAAATTACTGCTTTGAAAATCATCTTCAAAGAGAGAGGTAAACCATACCTCTACCAGCTCTCCGTTATAGTACACACTGACGTTTCGAAGTGTTCCAGCGACATCGTAGGTCCTCTTCCGGAACATTCTACAAATAGCGTCATCCAGTCCAGCGATTCCAAATTTGGCCAAATCAGGTCGAAAAGTGACCCGAGTACCATCCATAGCTTTCGGGTCCTCAACTATTATTGGCTCACCGAATTCGCGCATGTTCTTTGTCCAGACCTAAATCTGAACTGTTGAGATAGAACGAGATACGGTAGTGATTCCAATCTGCTGTTAAGAAACAATGAGGAACTGCAATGGGGTGGCTGTGGCTGCATCGCTATAGCGCAGCATAACCTTCGGAGAAATCGGGTAGGTAGTAGAAGGTCACGGCGCGACGTCGCGCCGTCGCGCAGTGACCTTCTACTACCTACCCGAACCTTGGATGTGCACCTCAAGAAAGGACGAATTGCCCCTGATGCCATCACGCGACTTTTGCGCTGCATACGCTTCCGCTCTGGTAACGTGATGGAGACACGGTAGGCACCTGTACGAGATGCACCACGTACCACATCTGTAACGTATTCCGATGCTTCTCCACAGCAAAAGCATAAGTTGCGTGACGGCGCACGTAAACCGCTGGCTGCAATGGGAGCGAGGCACTCGTCCATTTTGGCGCGCAAATTTGAGCTGTAAGCGGACGCGACATCGCGCCCTGACCTTTACGTGTGCTCTGCTCGATGACCCAGTTTTTCTGCAACCACAAGGCGTGTAGATATATTCCGCCTTTATAAGGCTTCACTTCCAAAGGGAATGCGGAAGTCACTTAAAACATTGACGACAGCCCCTTGTGCGCGTGGCACGGTATCTTTTTATTTATTCACTCAGGATCGCCATTACTCCATCAATAATTCCTCAAGTGTAATTGGTGCACTGTTCCACCAGATAAAAAATTTACATAAACAATTTTTGAATATGAAAAATGTCAAATCAATCGAACAGAACAAGCCCTATCCATGAAAATGCGGCGCGCATGCGCGTCATGCTGTTGTTACTGTGATACTGTGTTGTCAGTCATTTATAAGAAAAATAAACAATAATAAGACATCCATTATGGAAAACCATGTACCGAAATGGAAATATTTCCAAAAAATATTTAGAAGACATTCATGGAGAACTTCACCTGTCTGAAGGTTTTACCATTGATTAGTGATGTATCACTTATAACTTGTAGAAAAATATTACAAGCTTTGTTGCTCCATAGCGTTACGTCCGGCCTGCAATCAATAAATGGATTTATTGCGGATCGATGGATGCATCGATCGAACTTCAGGAATGCTCACAACTGTTTCACCTCTCTGCATCGTATTGACGATGTGACAGATTTCAAAGATCAAGTTGCACATATCCTTATTGGATGTAACTCTTTGGAAGACACGCCCATTATTGTATTGAAATTTTTCCTTCTTTCTTAACATTTTTTCGTAAATCAAAAATCAATTTAAGGAAATTAAGGGCAATGAAATATCAAGAGTGATGAAATCATTAAACGAGGACTGCAAAAACCCGTTTAGAATGAGGCAGAGAGCAACAGGGAAGTCGTCTTTTTTAATGTTGAGGTCAACAAGTGCTGTCGCGTGCGGTACGCCGCACGGCAAACTGATAGAACCCGTAAAAGCTGCGAGTCAGAAAAATGATTCGCTTGAAGTCTAGAACGATTGTAACTAGAGACATGGGTCGCGATCAGAATAATGTGTTATTTTGTTCGAAAAATCACACAAGAAGTGCACAGATACGACATAGAGACACAAAACAGCGAGAAGAAAAACACGGTAAGGAGCATTTGCACGCGAGTGGATGCGCAAATGTCAAAGTAGCAACGATGAAAGGATAGCGCGAGTGACAGCCGTCAGCAAAACACATTTACTCCCTTTCGAAACTTTAAAGTCGTTCAGTTCACACCGCTGTGGGTTCAGGGCGTCCTGCACTCACTAACGAAAAGGATTTCTCTACGCGGTTATTGTCGTGACCCGTGCCTTTAAGCACGAAACAGCAGCTCTTGCAAAACATCGCAAATTTGACATCTCGTCTTCCACACACGCAGCGCAAGCGCACGCGATGAGATTGTTGAGTTGCAGCCCTCCACATTATCTTCCTTCAGACTTTCGCATTTCGTTAAATTGGAAGTGGAATAAGTTGGGCTCAAAAATGCTACACGGTGACGCTATAAAAGAATATCCAAGGGATTCACAGGTCATTTACTGAGCAATAAACCTACTGATCAACGTCAACGCGAAGCTCGTTCATCTCAGGGTCTCTTTGCTTGTTGTCAGCCGCGTTCACAAGAATCTCATCGAAGATCTTCAGAAGAGCTGGCGAGTATGACAAAGGCATCTGCACACAGCTTTGTCCGTCTTCCGACACCACCCATGCATCCTAAAAATCGCTTAGCAAGGGGATTGGGAAAATTCGGTAGTTCAGACAGTAGGATAATTAGATCGTTCACTTACCGTATACTCAGCAAGTGCTGTCGAACCCACATAGGTGTCAGGCCGAAGAAGGATATGCTCAATCGGTGATTTCCGTTCGTATCGGAGGCTTTCTTGAATGAGTTTTTAGGATCGTTTGAAGAATGTTTACAAGAGTTGTTCAAACGTACAAAAGCCCTAAGATAAGAAGTTCTAGCTCATACTCACCCACAACTGGATTAGTGGTGGTGACAGCAACAGCGCTCTTTTTAACCCTTGCTTGAAGTTTTAGTGCTGATGCACTGAACGGTTTGAGTTGGTTGAAAAGTTGAGTATACCGAAGACTTGCAGGAATTCCGAGGACACATCGTCGCATACCCTTGAAGAACTCCTGCTTTATCAACCTTCAAGTTTACACTCAAACATCACCTAAGAAGATAATTTCCGATATTTAACTAGGATTTCTCGATAGAAATTTTCCATTACTTCACGAGCAATATAAGTTTTGGAAGTCTAACAAGAACCGGGTTTATGTATGAAATAAGGGTTCAAGTGTATTTACCCTCTTTCAAAAACCAGAAGCGCGTCGAGTGCAGACCACACACCACAAGTGACGACGGCCTCCACAAAATGTAAATGTTTTCTGCCAATGAAATGATTAGCCTGTTGCAGTTGTATTCTATCAGTTGTCACTAATTACAACCTCATTTACCAAGTATCAACCATCACTAATTAACAGATTCACTTGGACGTCGTCACTTGAGGTGTGTAGTCTGCACTCGACGTGCTTCTAGCTTTCTGATAGGAAGGTGTGTCGATGAAATGTAGTGAAAGACGGAGCAAATGAAGCTAAAAGGAAGCGACGAGAAAGAATATTGTCAAGCATGCATGAGCTGGTGCGAAGGTTGAAGGGTTACAGCTTCTGCCACGGTTTACGGGACCAAATCCCACTCAAAATAACCTAGCCTATAGTTAGTAAGGGCTCGGCTGACTAATTCAGAATTGATTTGAGATTTAATAAAGTGAAATGGAATTGGAATTGGAATTGCATTGCAACTGGCAGGGTACGGTAGTGCGCCGACAGCCAATCACGCATGAGTCTCAACAGCCGCCGTTTACCGTACCCCCTCGTAGTCACCAGTGTAAGTTGTCGATGACGGTATTTATAGCATGCTATTCGAAGCTGATCCATTCGAAAAAAATAACGAAATTAGCGAAGTGAAAGAGAAGAAAAGAGAGAAAAAAGAGAGCGGAGAAAAACATGAGTATTCTTCCCAGTATGCTAGTGTTACCTGTGCTTGATAAAGATCCAAACACAATATTTTACTTACCTCGAACGCGTTTCATAAAAAATAACTCCCTTCCAATTTACCATAAATTTAATACGATTACTAATTTTGTATTGAATTGTGATTACTAATTAGAAACAAATTTAAAATTAGTAAAGTTAAAGTGAGGTTTCGAAGTTGGACTTCAGCCGGAAGAGATCTACTGGTCGGAGATTTTCTGATATCGTTCGCCAAAACGAGACTGAAACCAGCCACAACGAAAATCGATGAAAAAATTTATTACGTGATCATATGAACATAGTTAAACCAGGGATATGGCAGCAAGGTTTACTGATACCATAATTGCTTTTCGGAATTGAAAGCATGTTCACTGAAAACCGGAGAATGCGCAAGTTGTGCTTGATTGTATATGTATAAACAATGAATTTTGAACAATACACCCTTTCGGGCTGTTTACGAGATCACCTGAAAGTACTGCGAAAAAATCTGTAAAACAAACAGAAAATTCTAAAAGGGCAACATAAAAAATATCATATAGATTAAAACAAATACAATTATTAACCAAGGTCTTTGGAGCGGCAGTTGCGCAATAGACCAGAAACTAGGCCACACAATCATTACAATACACTGCGTTTCATAATTATAGGTCCACCCTAAATTTTTGCTACCCCAAAGTTGCTGTGCATTTTTTGGAAATGCTGCTATCACCATTAGATTCCTCGTCATGGAAAACCCTTCACAGTGTTTTTCTGACAAAGTTCCTCCCTCAAGTAACCCAATTAACTTTTTCTGAACGAATTTTCACCGTTTCGTGAATATCGGGCTACTCATAAAAAGTTCCCATTTCTCGTGATCAGTGAAGGAAATAAGGGAAGCGGGGATATATCTGAGCTCAGTCGACATCGAGTTTACCGTACCTCGTGTTACTCGCCTCTCTTCCCAGTAACAAGCTCAAGCCAGAGCACTTACTGAAGTGGGATGGCAAAGGAGCAAAATTTCCTCCCAAGCCGGCCGGCTCCTACGACCTAAGCAACTAAGTGCGAAATCCTGGTCAGTGCGGGGAGAAGAGTAGCTTAGGTAAATGAAGACCGCGTTTCCTTCAAGATTTAGGAGGAACTGGGCGTTTTCTCTCGAATTGTGTAAGGGGTCCGAACAAAGTTCGTGCTGAAATACGGCCTTCCGTGAGCAAAACCACCGTGTGGTGTGTACGTCAGCGAAGCAATACATCTTCAGCGGATTGATGAAGAGCGTTCCAAGATTATTTGAGCGCTTCAAGATCGCACGTCTCCATTTCTCAGCGTGGAAAAGGGCTCAACTTTATGAACGAAGGTTTGTGGCTGTTCAGACCCTTCGCGATCTTGGACTCTAGCTCCTTGTTTCGTGCTACAGGTGATCTGAGATCGACGTGAAAAAGTTTATTCTAGGTGGATCTGATAGAAAAAAGCGTACGGGAGGGTTCCGTGGAAATCGTAGATGGTTTTGATGTAAGGTAATTTTGGCGAAGAATCCCTTATGGATTGAGGCTCTTTTGAACGACTGAGCGGCTAGAGCTCGTGTTTGTTTCCTTTCAAGAGGATTCCATAGGGTATCGTGAAGTTCTTCTGAAGCGACTGTTACCATCTTTCCGACAACAGCTCCCTCGAACCTTGATTTTTACGCACGATAACGCGGCTGTCCATGCCGGTCCTTCCACGCCAGATGGAATTGTGGGAAAAAATATGGCAGTTACCTGGTGGCCAACATGTTAGCTGAATCAGATTCCAATAGAGAATCATAAGGCCTTAATTGCTATAAAGTTCCACAGCAAGAGAAAAGCAAAATGGAACAACCGAAGAGCTGAAAACGTCGATCATCAGCGCACAGACAAATTTCGATCCTACTGTAATAGCTAATTTGATTACCAGCATTCCAAAACGTATTATTGTGTTCCTTATGACTATGGGAGGACCATCCCATTGTTGAAAATTTGTGACGTTTTTTTGCTATAATAAAATCTCTCGAAAAGTGATCTGTAGTCATATTCGCGAAACGGTGAAAATACGCTCTAAAAAAGATATTTTAATTATTCTTAATCAAGATTTCTCCAAAAATCGAGTATCAAGGTTTTTCGTTATGGGGAAACTATTGGTAATAGCGGCATTTCCCAAAAATGCGCAGCAACTTTGGAATAGCAAAAATTTAGGGTGGACCTATATTTATGAAACGCAGTGTATATTAATAAATGTGGCGCTTCCACTTCTGGCGCGTATACCAGGGATATGTACCGATCGGTACAACTAGGTTAGGTATTCTGGAAACATCACTGGCCGAACGCTTGGTAGACGTTTACGAGACCTACGACCTTATCCGCCTGGGCCGCTATCTTACAACAAGCGCCCGCGGCACGTTACTGCGCCACACTTGCAGAACAGCTGGCGATGACGTGGACGGTCCGGGTCGAGTGCATCCGGCGAATAACCGTATTCACCACATTCCTGTAAGAAATGAGCATATAGAGAGACCAATGAAAGTAACACACCTTCCTCCTTAAGCTTTAGAAACCGTTAATTGACACGCTGAAGATATCAATTCGATTTTGGATGTAGGGGCTCAACCGTCCACATCGCGAACGAGCAACGAGGGGTAAGGTTCGCAGGTGGGCCGGGCGGCGGGGTGGGCGCGTAGTGGAGCAGGTGTGGGGCGGTGTGCGGGCCGGGTATGGAAGTGAGCGGGCGGGTGTTCTAGGAGGGTTGCCCAGTGCGAAATTGGTTGTTGTTGCTGGTTGAGGTACCGTGGGCGGGAAGCGGACCACGGGGTGATAGGCCAGGTAACGGGAGTGAAATTGTTTGCAAGTACTACGCATCTTCTCTCTTGGGGGGGTAACAGCTGCGTTTCAATTTACCATAAATCTAATACGATTAATAATAATACGATTACTAATTTTGTGTTGAATTGTGGCTACTAATTTAGATATCAAATTCAATATTAGTAAAGTTAAAGCGAAGTTCCGAAGCTGGACTTCAGCCGGAAGAGATCTACTGGTCGGAGATTTTCTGATATCGTTCGCCAAAACGAGACTGAAACAAGCCACAACGAAAATCGATGAAAAAATTTATTACGTGATCATATGAACATAGTTAAACCCATAGGTATACAGCAAGGTTTACTGATACCATAATTGCTTTTCGGAATTGAAAGCATGTTCACTGAAAACCGGAGAATGCGCAAGTTGTGCTTAATTGTATATGTATAAACAATGGAATTTTGAACAATACACCCTTTCGGGCTGTTTACGAGATCACCTAAAGTACTGCGAAAAAATCTGTAAAACAAACAGAAAATTCTAAAAGGGCAACATAAAAAATATCATATAGATTAAAACAAATACAATTATAACCAAGGTCTTTGGAGCGGCAGTTGCAAATATGCCGAGGAAACTAGGCCACAACAATCTTATACACATAAAAAATGTGGCCTTCGAAATCACTCTGGCGGTATACAAGAGATATGTATCGATCGCTACAACCTGGTTAGGTTCTGGAAACATCACTGGCCGAACGCTTGGTAGACGTTTACGAGACCTACGACCTTATCCGCCTGGGCCGCTATCTTACAACAAGCGCCCGCGGCACGTTACTGCGCCACACTTGCAGAACAGCTGGCGATGACGTGGACGGTCCGGGTCGAGTGCATCCGGCGAATAACCGTAATTCCAGCACAATTCCTGTAAATTTAGCAGATATAGAGACCATGAAAGTACACACCTTCTTCCTGACGCAGCTTTGAAACGTAATCAACACGCTGAAAATATCAATTTGATTGGGATTAGCTCAACTGTTCCACATCCTCAGAACACAACTGAGGTAAGGTCCGCAGGTGCTGCCGCGTGCGGTCGCAGTGGAGCAGATGTAATGGCGTTCATGAGGGTTTTTTAGGACTTTCCAGTGCGAAATAATTGTTGTTGTTCTTCACTACAATATCTTCTAGACCACCATACCATAATATAAATTGGTCTGCAATACTACGACGAAGCTGGGCCGCGCGCGTCACCATCAGGGTACTGTCATGGGATGGCTTCAACACAATGGCGAAGACGTGGCACACTTTTGCCGCGTGGGACAGTGCGGCTCGATACCCCACCGCGGCAGGAGCGAAACAAAAACAATTTTTTGTGCAGTTTGAAGGTTTAACGGCAACAAAAGAGAATTGAAAAAATAAAATCAAAAAAAATCGAAGCGGTGGGGCGGATGAGGGAGTGGTTCAGAACTGTTAAACAAGAATGCTTGTCTCAAAAGGGTCCTGTTACTTGACTGGCAGGGGTGATTCTGGTGCTCGCGTGCACCATGGTGTCCACTATATGGCACGATGTCTGCTCCTCGTGTGTAGACACGCTATTTGTGGTTTACGCGCTTCTGTGACCGGCTTCCCTTCGTCGTAGACTCGTCCGACCCCTTTTTAGTGGTACCCCCCTTTCGCTCCATATCGTTGTATGTGAAAATAACAACGAAAATATGATTGTAGAATGCGCCTCTAAAGCCCTACCTTAATATTTTCTCTGATTATTGCGGTGAAGATTACCAATTTAAAGTGTTCAATGCTCACCTCTCCTGCTTTGATATTTCGAATGGCAAAAAATGAGGACCATGGTAATCGTAGATCGTGAGTGTCAACAAACACATGCTGCACTTGAACATTTGGATCGCACGAATGATTCAGGAACCTGAACGAAAGACTTTTTTTTCTTGAATGACTTTCCTTGGAGTCTTGCTTACGACCTTGTTCCATTGAAGTACATTATTAGGTGAGGATAAAGACTTGATGCAAAATTCCATTTGAATTTTAACACGTTGACGACAACGCGCGTTTTGGGTTTTTGCACCGCGTGGGACCACGGCGATTTTGCAGGCGCCGCCGCCTCACATCAAATCCGTGAATTTTGAGCTTTAAATACCCAAAACTCGGATGCAACAAAATGTTTAGAATGATATTCGATGTGTCAAACTTATCAGAAGGGACAACTGTAAAAAATCGATCGAATTGACGTTTTCTGGCGATGAAAGGCAAGTTTCAGTTGCTTTTGCTGCAGTGAACCTCAAAATTATTTTTGACGCGGTTGCTCCACTAAAAACATATGTCTTGCTATATGTGTGGGTCTGTACTTACTTCTACTGCTCTTTTTTATGACCAAGATTATCAGAATATAAAGGAAACTAGGAATGAACACAATTGGGAAATTCGTAGGGCTTAGAAAACCTTCGCTAAAAAGGAGCATATTCAACCATTCAATGAACCTCGCCGTGTCTAGTCATATTATGGTGCAGTCTATAGAATAGATGCAAAAAATTAGAAAAGAAGTTTGTGGTGCAGCGCATTGCCGCTGCACACGGTCCCCACGGTGGCTCAAGGCGCTGAGCCGCATTGCGCTGCACAATTCGTGCAACGTGTTGAAGACCTATATTTTTGCTAATACGATCCCGGTCTATGATTTGTTCAGCATTATGGTCCGTAAAATGTGCCCAACGATTTTCAGTTCTGAAGGCCTGGAACTGCGGTGGCTACGAGTCAGAGAGGTTGAAAATCTCGTTCTGAACTTTCGTGAGATCAGTGAATTTCCCAGTTAGGTATGCTGAACGCGCATCAGGGTAATCTGGGAGGGCTCTCCCGAGAGAGTAAGCGCTATATCACCTTTTTTTTTGCCCCCCCGCCTTTTTGTGATCACCCCCCCCCTGCTATACTGCTTTATGGGATTCCCAATGTATGCAAGATAAGGGAGTCGAGATATTGGTCTTTGTTAGAACCTGCAGAAAACCGGAAATAAAAACCATAACAAAACAAATAGAAAACAGAAAACTTTGCAGGAAACGGAGACTAAACGACTTCTTTGCTCACCACCCCTTCAAATATATGCAAAAATTGAAGAATATCGTTAAAATTTCGATTTAAACATCGTAATCAAGATAATAATAAATAGATTAGTTTGATTCAACTTGTTTCTATTATAATACATTAACGTAACTTTCATTGTATAGCATGGCTTTTAAGACGATTGGCTTCCTAAAAGCCACTGATAGTGCACTTGTTGCTTTATGTCCCGAATTAGTTTGCGAAGTTTAACAGTAGCACCAAAAGTTAAAACCTTCCCCGTTACCTTCCCGCCGTCCTATCTGATGAGATCTTCGTACTGTTCTCCGAAGAAAAAGTTATGAAAAGATTGAAAATTATTTATCCAAGTCTTTTTCCTCAACGTAACAGCTATTCTACAGCAGAAAATAAACAGAATTTTAGTTCATGTGTTACGACTGCTGCCATCAAAACAAAGTGAACAAATAAATAAACAGTGGTATCGCTCACCTTCCTACGTTCCCCTTCTTCTTTGCGTCCACCACGAACAGTGTATTGTTCTCGCCAAAATAGTCGGCCCATTTGAACATCGTGTCATCACCCACAGCCGCCGGCAGCCGCAGCATCAACTGCACATCCCCAACGGATCATTGTTCGGAAAAATTTCTCCCTCACGATGCAAGACAGGGTCCGAGAGGCCCCTGAGCTTGTTTCTTTTTGAAGCAAGACAAAAGGACAACTGCTCTTTTTTTCAATACGCATGCCAGATGGACACTTTGGAAGATAGCGGAAAAAGAAAAGGGTTCGCATCTGACTAAGGCTCCTTGCTCAAAAACCCCGTCGAACAATAGCAGTCTAGGATATAAATTTCCAATCCACCTTTTCAAAAAAGTTACACTGGTTACAGATTTATTCCGCGCTGCGAGCCCGTACAAAAAAAACGACACACTGAGATGGAATTTGACACCTCAACGATAGTGCGTGTTTTTGCATTTTTTATTCATTAGGGACGATGCGTGGGAGATTTTTTCGGACGTGCAAACGGTCGGAAACCAGAACACCTCAATTTTAACAAACCACTACTTGATTATTTTCTGCAACACGCCGCTCACTTGTGTTTTGGTATTATCCATAGGACAGACTCAAAGTATCTGCCAGAAAGGTGCTCAAAAGCATCGGGTCGAACAACCTTTTCAGATACGGCATGTTTAGCCGATGCCAACTATATTTATGAAACGCAGTGTATAGAACATGGCTTAATAAAAGTTTGGAAAGGAAAGGAGCAGACGAACAGAGCGCGAGTAGCCTCCTCCAACTACGTCAGCACAACTACGCTAGCTTATAGAGCCTAACAGACAGCGGCAGAAGAAAGGCCTTGACAGTCTTAGGAGGGCTCGCCCTTTGAAAGAGCAGCGCACCTCATGGTCGGTAACTTTCCCTACCAAGTTATTTGAACACCCACTTTTCTCCAACTCGGCTGCATTCAATTTCTTCCTTCGCCGATTCATTTCTTCCTCCTCCCTACGTTTACGTTTACTACGCTTTGATTTCGGCTGCTCCTCCTCGCTTGAAGACGAAGATGAGGCATCAGAACTGGAAGATTCACGGTTTATATTGTTTTTCATAATTCTAGAGGAAGTAAACGAAAATTTGAGGGGAAAGCTTCAATCAACCGCTTTCATATGCCCCATGTCACCAAACCTCCATTCAAAAATAAAAACAAAGTTTGAGTGCAAAAGTTCTAACACTAAAATAGTCTTTTTAGGAATGACATTTATCGGATAGTTACGGTGTAAATAAAAAATTGCGCTCGCTCTCACTAAAGCAGTAATGCGAGTTTAAAAAATAATATTTCAAAGCTGCTAATTCTGCGTTGAAAAATCCAAAATCCGCGATCATGAGGTTAGCAAAGCAAAGAATCCTAACGATACCCTACCGATACCCTACCCGATTCCATCGTCTTCCGCGTCTTTCTTTGACTGCACCTGTTCCTCTTCCTCATCCGAACTACCCAGTCCCATATCCAGATATCCGCATTTCTCGAGAGTTGTCGCCTTCTCGTTTTCCACCTTAACCGATCTTTACACTATAAGTACACACCCACACCCTCTCGTATGTACTCTGCATCAAGAAATGCTTTTTATAGCATTTCCAATGAACACTCCGAAAACTCAACTTAAAGAACTCACAGCATCGTTGAGGTCCAAATCGGCGAAGTACTCGTCCTCTCCATGGAGAGCATCAGCTATACTGTCTGTCAACAGTGCTCCCACATAGTTGGCAATGAATGCGCCCGCTGGGATGTCACATAGTGCTCGAACACCCCAACCACTTTGTGCGGTCTTATAAATCTACAAAACAGGTTACAAATTTTTACAAATTCTGCTTCACCATCCATGAAAAAGAAATCAAAGTAGGGAATTACAAGACATACCTGGATAGGGTACTTGATCGGCTGTTGCACGACACGGTTATAGCACCGCTTCTGTTGACAGCCACAGTTGTCATTACACTCAAATACGCCCGTGATAGTCTTGCCAAGGAGGGTACGGTAACTATAGCTGCAATCAAAAAGCATTTTCCGAAATCACAATTACTTCACTACACATTAAGTTTGAACCGATTTGATTTTGATTTGATTTATTACATGTTGAACAACAATTAATGAAAGAAAAACGTGAGAAAAAAATCGATGCGTAGGCTATGTCAGCAGAAAATCTCATAAACATTAAGGCGGTCTAAATTAGGGCGGAAGTGGTGTAGTGGCAAGTGGCACGCTTACCACGCGAGCGGTCCGGGGATCAAATCCTGGGTCGTGAGTCGCCCGGGCCAACCAAGCCTTCCATCCCTCCGGGGTCGGTTAATTGGTACCAGACTTGTCTGGGAGGATAAAACACTGACTTGTACATCGGCTGGCCCCCGCAAGTCATTGTATAGGCCACATCGCATTCAAACGCCACTACGAATGTACAAATGGAAGTAGAATGCGTGCCGCATCCCAAAAGGGATTGATCAACGGCAAATGCTTTATCCTTTATCCTTTTAATTTTGACTTCAAATAATGTAGTGCAATCAGGAGGTAGTGCTAGTCTTAATAAATGATGAACAACTGTCAGCGCAGACAATATTTGTTCGCTATCACTGTTATTCGCTACCAAGAGCCCCAAGCTCCGTGGGAAGCGCATAAATGATGAATGACAGAGCATCTCGAGTTCGTCAATCGGTTTCTGGAGTGCACACGCATTGCACTTCTATTAAAAGTAGTAGTGGCATCTTGATGCGTTTGGTATACAATGACTTGTGGGACCAGCTGATGTCGATGTTTTCAGACCGGTTTCAGACTTTGCGAATCTAGCAATTGCGGGGTGCGAACGATGGGTTGTAGTTTGAACTATGCACCAGCGACACGAACTCTGCACCTACGACTCGATAGAGTGAGAAAACGGCAAGAGTTCTTCTCGTTCGCACGTTTACTGCTACCACCTAGGCGCTAGAGGGCATGAGAGGATGGGAACTTTCTTACATTGCCAGCGTTGTTGCATTGTTTAAATCAATGATGCATCGTATGAAGGGCTGGTGCATCACTGGAGCGTCACGATTCGCTGGAGTCGCAAAGTCTCACACCGGCTTTTCAGACAAAGCCAGCACCAGCTTGGCTGATTTGGACGGCGCACAATCAAAGATTTGATCTCCGTTCCACGCGCGTAGTAAGCAGCGCCACTTGCCACAACACCTCAGGTTCCCCATGCGTTGAAGGACTTACTGGCTGGTCCAATGATTAACTCATGTAGAAACGCTAACCACTCATGAGATCAAGTGACCTGTTTACGTTTAGATTCTCAGAAGACTCAAATATAATGAACAACTGCCATCTAAACATGAGTAACGTACCCATATTCTCCAGCAGCAGGGACGAAAACTTTTTGCGAGTCGTTGCACATTGGATACTGTCAATTGTTGGCATTCACATTTCGAAGGGTCCGAGCAGTCATCTGAAATTTTCCACTAACTTCAAAGCTACTATTCAAGATTCAACAGCTGCTAACAGCTTACTGTACACAACAACTTGTGATCACATCTGGAGCATTTATTTTATGCCAGTCGGGTGCATATTGCAAGTATCATTTTTCATACTGCATAAGCTCAAACGTAATAGGATTCATGAGAAAAACTGACCAGTGCAAGAACAGCCAGAGCAGAAATCTCTAGAAATCGTCTTCACATCCACTTGATGATTATACGGGAATCGTCGAGCACAGTAAGCCATCTGAACCAGCTTATTGGGCACTGTATTCTTGATTGGTAATAGCTTGTTGACAAAATTTCAAAAAACAATGGTGATTAAATCTCTACCTTGGGAGGATTTTCGTCATCGACTGTGTTCACTGCTGGTATAGGCATGTTTTCCAGACCAAGAGTGAAGTCCGCTGTCTTGACAAAAGATTCCGCAACCTAAATGTAACAGTGCCATAGAAATCACCATTTTTTCAGAGTACGTTGAGAAAAGAATTGATCACTTCTTACTGCTATTC